CCGCCGCCAACGGCGACCTCAAGAAGGCCAACGAATGAATTTGACCCTCTCAAAACCCAATCCCAACCCTCCAGGGCGCCGGTCTCCATCATTGGCCCCTTGGATGGACGCCTTTCCCTCGAACATATCCCTGAAACACATCCAACGCTGTCTTTGCCTCCAGAACTTAGCAGCACCATATTTTAAACCCAAAATACGCATCTAGGCTTTTAATTCATCAGCCACGAAGGACCCTTTTTCAAGTCTCCTCTGGAATTGGCATTTCTTTTTCCCAGCCCGGCTGTGTGCAGTTCCTTGCCGCACACACCTGCTCCTTCTTGAAATTCCACGTTCCGTTCCCTGTCCCTGTTTTGTCTAGGGCTGGCTGGGACTTACTGATGACGTGTAGGTTTGGCTCTTCTGATCTTGCTCCTCACCTGCATTCAGTATCCTGTGACCATTCGTGAGAGAACGTGCACCACACGTGCGGAGAAGGGCTAGAAGAAGAAGGGTTTGGAAATAAAGGGTCAGGGAAGTTTGCTCAGGCGGGGGAGAATCTGCTTGCTCCAGGCGCAATGCATGGTGGCATGGTCGTCACAGCCTAGTTGTGTGGGGAGAGATGTGATGGAAGCTCACACAGGAAACGGGTAGACTCATGGTGAAACAAGCAAGCGATGGAGGGAGCCTCCAAAGCGGCAGAGGATGAGTTTGCCGGTGCTCTGCTGAGAGCTCAGGCCTCCTTAACCCAGCTCCAGTGGACAAGACGCTGCATATATGTATGATGGACAGGCGCTGGTGCGCACAATTCCCAGCAGCCAGCAAAGAAAGGCACATGCCGATACCGACATCCTGATGTGTTTGGCAGGGTCTGAAACTTGCGAGTATGTTGTGTCAATCTTGCTTGAGGATGACGACATCATGCCGAGTGACATGGGGGTGGTCGCGACTCAAGCTCTCCTCGCATGTGGCTTTCCAGGTATTAGTAAGCCTGAATATTGCAAACTTCCAACTGTGGGGCAATGGTTTAGTGGTATAATACTCGCTTAGGGAGAAGTGCCAATCGATTCCGGTAAAACGGAGTGAAACTTCGCAAACTGCGAGTGGTCCCGAGTTCGATTCTCGGTTGCCCCCTCTTTTTGCTTTACGGGCGTTCACCCTGCTTGGCACTCTTTGCAGGCAACCATCGCACACTTTCAGTCGTTCTCTTCATGCGATAGACAAGAAATTACCAGCCAGTAGCTACAGCATTTGTGTGTAAGGGGCGTTCCCTCTCCTATCATTGCTGCCTCCGTTCCGGAGCCCCCGATCATCTCGGCAACCTTCAGTCCCACTCCTCCAGCTCCATTTATTCTAGAGAGCGCGCTCTTTCGTCATGTAGACCCGGTCCCGGGTTGCAGCCATGCTCCTGGTGGCTCGCAGACTGCTGGGCTCGAGCGTGGTAAACCATGCAGTCCTCGCACAGCTGAATGGGGGGCCCGCTGGCGCCAGCACCCTCGTGGGAGCCACGGACACATCCCTGGTTGTCATCTCGCTGGCCACCTCCGGATCCAGCGCCGTGCTCTGCCAGCAGCACCTGCCCTTCGTGGTCCTGGGGCTGCAGGCCACCCCCATGGGCCACACTCAGGTGACCACCGCGGCGCCGCTCTGCGCGGCCCAACAAGGATGCTTGCCGCTGCACTGCTCCCCTCCCTCCCCCTCCCCTGGTCACATGCCTGGCTTCTCCTGTGCAGGATGCCATCTGCATGCTGGCCGACGCGGGGTTTGTTGAGATCATGGCGTACGATGCGGAAGCAAACAGGTATGGCTGTTCTCTAGCTCGCGCCACCCCGCTTGAGGCATGGTGGAGGGCAGCAGGGATGCTGATGTCGGGCGGTGGGGCTGGGTGAGGGATGCGCCTGGCATGCACCCGTGTCGCGGCTGCGCTGTGCGCGCTGGGGTCCCCCGGGCCGGGCGCTCCGGCTGCGCCGGGTGACCCTGGAGCGACGATCTGGGCACCGGGCGCGGCGGCGCGACCGTCCCCCGCTGGTCCGCGGCGAGGGGCTGGACCTGCACCCTCTACAGTCCCCCGACCTGCTCCCACACCCGCCGTACAGGCTGGTCACCCTGGTCCGCCACGCGCTGGCGGGCCCCACCCTGAACCCCTGGGTCCACCTGGCCGCGGCCCGAGGGCGGGGCGTGGTCGCCGTGGCGAGTGTCACGCAGCAGATCGCCGTGCTGGCGCTGACGGGGCCGGGGAGCGGCGTCGGCGGCGACTGGGCCCTGCAGCCCCTGGCGTGGGGCGGGATGGGCGTGGACGACGTCATCGCCGGCCTCGCCCTGACTGGTGCGGCGGAGCCGGGCAATGGGGTTTTTGGTGGGGGAAGTCTGCGTGGGAGGCAAGGGGCATCCGGTGCTGGCCCGGACGCTCTCGGCCCCCGCCTCCGCACACCTGTGCTGCTTGGCTTGGTCCAGTCCCCTCTGCTCGCAGCGGATGTCCACGCTGGGCCGGCTCCCCGATCGCGCCCCACGATCCCCTCCCCTCCCTCCACACCACATGCCCCCCCGCCCCTCCCCTCCGCCCGGCTGCAGACTCGGGGGAGTGGCTGGCCGTGCTGTCGCTGGTCGGGCCCGACTCCCAGGAGCTACACAGCGCGGCGCTCGACGCGGGGGCCGCCTCGGCGCGGCGCGGCGCCCCCTCCCCCGCCTGGCCTTCCAGCTGGACGCGGAGTGGTTTGCGCAGGACGCCTGGATCTGGGGCCTGCACCCGGGCCCACCCTCCCGCCCGCACACCCTCCTCCTGCGCTATGAGAGCTGCGCCATGCTCTGCGCGCCGCGGCGGGGCCAACGGGCCGCCGTGCTGGCCCACTACCGCCCCTACTGGGCCGGCGGGACGCGGCTGTGGGGTCACGCGGCGGTGGCCGGGCTGGCGTGGCAGCCGGGCGGGGAGGCGCTGTACCTCGCCAGCTTCGACGGCCGCCTGTCGCTGGCCGGCGGCCCGGCGGCGAGCGTGGCGCCCGCGTGCGACGGCGCTGTGCCCGTGTTCACCGGCAGGCCCAAGCGCGTCGACGCGGAGGTGCCCGGCGAGGTGCATGCGCTGCTCCTGCCGGCGGCAGAGGGCCCCTTCGTCTGGCTCGCCTCGGGGGGAGGGGTGGTGGTGGCCGCCAACCGCACCGACCGACCCCTCATCCCCGGCGGACTGGGGCCCGTGGCCGGCGCCAGCCTGGGCCTGGAGGAGGGCCGGCCCCTGCTCTGGGCGGTGGGCCAGGCGGCGACGGAGGGCCCGCTGGCCCACGTGACACAGGTCCGCGTCGCGGAGAGCGCGGCGCCTGGCGCTGGCGGCGATGAGAACGGCCGGCCGCCATGGGTGAGCGCGTGTTTCTGAGGGGCGCTGCTCTGTCTCACCCCTCGTTCTTCTGGAGGAGGAGGGTCGAATGTCAATGCGCCTCTGGGTCTGGGGCTCATCCGGGACGCCGCCTGTCCCAGGTCGCTCTGCTTGCCAGTGTGATGTGGGCAGGACGGCCCAGGGGCCAGGTCTGAAGCGGCGCTGCATGGGCCCGTCCTCGCGCAGCCACACCCTGCCGTGACCTCCGTGCCCTCGCCTCGCCCAGGTCCTCAACGGGGCGTGGCCCTACCCCACCGGCGACGCGCGCGAGCGGGTCGTCCTCTCCTTCGGGGCTGGGACCTGCGTCAAGCTCCTCACCGGTGGGTGGCTGGGGTTTACAAGCCGTGTGGGTGGCCACCACTGTGCGGGCTCTTGGGAGTGAAAGGGTTGGCCGCCCTCTCCCCCCAGCTCTCGACCCCTTTCCCCTCTCGCATCACGCAGGGGAGGGCGAGCTGGAGGACGCTTCGCAGGGCCTGGCCTTTGACGCGGACGCCCCGACCCTGGCCTTTGGGGCCTTGCCCGGGCTTTGGCCCGTCCAGGTCACCGCCTCGGCCGTGCTGGCGGTGCTGGTGGGGCGACCTGCGCCGCGGCCGGCCTGGCGGCCGCCGGTCGGGTCGAGCATTGCCGTGGCGGCCGTGGTGACGGCAGGCGACGCCGTGGTCCTGCAGACCGCCGGCTGCCGGGACCTGCTGGTGCTGCGCCCGGGGCTGGGGACGGGTCCCAGCCTGGTACAGGAGGTTCGTCTGCCGCTGGAGGCCGAGGTGTCGTGCCTGGGCGCAGCCTGCGCAGCGCCGGGGGGGGCCTGCTGCTGCCCTTTGGCACGCACGCGCCCTCGGTGGGCGCGGTGCACTTCGTCCCCGGCGAACTCCCGGCGCTGGCCTGGTCCGCGCAGCTCGCCGAGCCGCTGGCCGCGCTGCGCGGCGCGGGGCTGGCCGGCGACGACGACCAGCGCGCGCCGGTGGAGAGCGTGGCGCTGCTGCCGGCGGCGGCGCGGGGCCAGGCCGCGCTGTGCGTGCTGGGCACGCGCGCGGGCCTGCTGCTGGTGCTGGAGCTGGGGCCGGGGGCGGGCGGGGCGCTGCGCCCGCAGTCGGCGCTGCGCCTGGGCAGAGGCCCCGTGCGCCTTGTCCCCCTGCCGCCCGAGGGGGCGGGGGGAGCAGACCCCGGCCCCGGCGCGCTGGTGCTGGGGGCGCAGGCGCACGTCCTGCGCCGCGGGCCCGGCCCCATCGGCCGCGCCACGCTGCGCGCGCTGGGCGTGCAGGGCGCCGCGCTGGCGCTGCCCCTGGCGGGGGGCGGCTTCCTGGCCGGGATGGGGGACGGGCGCGTAGCCAGGGTCACGACCCTGGCAGGCGCGCCGTGGCGCGTGGAGTCGAGGCTGGTGGAGGCCCGGGCCCTGCACGACGCCGGGCGCCGGGCGCTGGTGCTGGGGGGCTGGGACCCGCGGACCACGGGAGCCGCCCTCCAGGCGTTGTCGCCGGAAGCAGGTGGGGGGTGGCTGCCGCATGGGCATCGGGCCGGGGGGACCCCAATCGCTCTGCCCCAAGTCCCCGGACCCTACCACCCCAATCTGCAGGGGAGGAGCTGGCCACATGGCACGGCTTTGACCCGGGGGAGAAGGTCGTGGCGGTGTGCGACTGGGCCACGGGCGTCTCGCCCCACGAGGGCGAGGCGCCGGGGGCTCCTGCGCAGCACCGGCCCTGGCACGAGCCCAGAGGTAGAGGCTTCTCTGGGGGCATGATGCTGGGAACCCATGGCGGGAAGGGGCTGTTTCGTGAGGGGGGGTGCTGCGTGGTGCGGGGACAAGGCAAGGGCGAACACCCGTTGCCCTTGCCCACGAGCTGGGCCTCTGTGGCTGCACTGTGGTCTCGTGTCACGCTGAACCCGCAAGCCGTTCAACCCTTTCTTCCCCCACGCTGTCCCCCCCCAGACGGCCCCGGCTCGCTGCGCTCCCACCCCATCCTGCTGTCGCCACGCGGGCCGCACGCCGAGTCCCCGCCGCCCAGCGGCGCTTTCGCGGTGGTGACGGCCAGCGCGGCGGAGCTGCCGGAGACCCAGGAGTTCAAGCGCCGCGGCAGCGTGCGCCTGATGGCCCTGGACGCGGAGGCCGGCGCCTTCCGGGTGCTGGCCCAGGTCCTGCTCCCGCAGCGGCCCACCGCCGCGGCGGTCATGCGCGAGGAGGGGTGGGCGGCGGGGCCCTGCCTGGTGCTGGGCCTGGGCCGGCGGCTGGCCTGCTGGGGGCTGAGGGCCGGCGACCTCTGCCTCCTGCACTCGCTGTGCCTGTCCAACCGCATCGACAGCCTGCAGGCGGAGGGGCGGCACGTGCTGGCGGGGGATGTGCGGGGCGGCCTGACGCTGCTGAGGTGGCGCGACGAGGGCGGGCGCGGCGCCTTCCACGCCGTGGCCGCCGAGGGCCTGCGGCGCCACATCAGCGCTGCGGTCTTCCTGACCCATGCCGGCGCCGGGCCGGCGCCGGGAGGGGCCGTGCTCGCGACCGGCGACGCCGACGGCGTGCTCTCCTTGCTGCGCATCACGCGCGACGGCGACGGCAGCAGCCGCTTGCAGCGGCTGGGGGAGCACCGCGTGGGAGAGCCGGTGGTGCGCCTGCTGGCGCTGCCGGTTCGGCACAGCACGGATGCGGCCTGGGGCGGCACGGCAGCGCCGGCACTGCTGGCGGTGACCTCGCGCGGGACGGTGCTCGGCTTGACCCCGGCGGGGGACGTGGTGCACCGGCGCACTCTGGAGCGGGTGCACGCCCGGCTGCTGGCGCGGGCGGGGGTGGAGGCCCGTGTGCGGCGGTCTTTAGAGTACGATCCCCCCGCCCCTGCGTGCGAGGAGGCGGGGTCGGCCGCGTGCGAGGAGTTGGGGCCGGCCGCGGAGGTGGGGCCGGCCGCGGAGGTGGGGCCGGCCGCGGAGGTGGACGCTGCCGGCAAGACGGCCGGCTACGACTCACCAGAGGCTACTCCCATGGGGAGCTGCGGGGACGCGGCTCCTGAGCCGGCCGCCCCAGCACCCGACGGCGCATGGGCGGTGGTGGATGGGGACCTCATGCTGGCGGCCCTGCACGCCCCCGCGCCAGACCTGGAGGCGCTGGCGGGCGAGGCTGGTGTGGCGTCGGCATTTCTGCTTTCCAGCATCCTGAGCGCCGCCGTGCAGGACGGGGGAGTGGAGCTGAGCCTGGCCTAGTATGGGGCCCTCTGGGTGCACATCTGCTTGCCTTTATATCTGCCTCTAAGCCTTGCATCCGGTCTGTCCCTGGATCCGGTCTGTCCCTGGCCCCTGCTCTCTATCCATGCTACAACTCAAGTCAATTTCCGGGGCAAGACTGGCATGTACACTTGAATCCCACATTCTGGATGGGCTTGTGCCACCTGGGCATCGAGAGGAGACAAGGAAGCGGGGGTGAGAGGGCTGACTGGGGCAAGCGGATCATGTACAAAAGTGCGCAGCATTTAAAGTACATCAGATGTAGTCCCTGGTAATAGTGAACAGATGCATGTGAGGATGCACCCGTCCGTGGGTCAGGACCGCAGTTGAATGCCTGGGTTGTCAAGCCCAGACCCGCCCATTGTAGGCCGCGGAAGCTGAAAGGGGCTGGCTGTGGATAGCAGCCTGCCCACAGGCATATGCGGCCATGATACACGGTGAACCCTGCACGCCACCAGCCTCACCGCTCACCTTGATTCTTATCGCAGTAGGATATTCGCAATGGCTTAATCAGGGAGGACAAAGACGGTGCACGATGAAGTGGAGAGCCGAGCTGACTGGCTGTGAGTGTGAGACGCTGCACGATATGAACTGACCCGGAGCGGAGGGACCGAGGTTATCCAAAGCTTGAGACTACGATACATCTGAAACAAGACAAAGCACACTACAAGCCTTGCACCAATGGCTGCGGGTGTATGTGCATGAATGTGCCCCACAACGAGGCCGCCGTCCATAACGCGGGAGGGGACACCCCCAGCGAAGCGCCAAGACCAGGCACAAGGCGCGGAAACGATCCTCGTGGTCTGAAGGCCCTGCATGCGAATGCCTGCATAACTAAGACTCCAGAAACGCCCAGGAAATCTACGTGACACTGTCGTCCAGGAACGACGTCCTCTTTCACTGGTGACGCTGCCTTGTGGTGCGACGGAATGGAGGAGCAGGGCCTCTACTGCGGGACGGCTGGAGCCTTCTTCCAGGACAAGGAGTCCCTTGTAGAGCATTATAAGAGTGAATTTCACAGGTGGGGTGCGCATGGCAAGTCTCCGGTGTGCCTGCATGACGTGCCTGACTGCCCGGGGTGAGGCAGGGAAGGCCCGGGAGGCCTTGTCCTGAGGATCCAAGCATGCTGCCCGACGACAGGTACAACCTGAAGCGCAAGGTGGCAGGACTGCCACCTGTGACGCGGGAATGGTACGATGCCCGCAAGTCTCAGCTGCTGGGGTCGCTGGACACGAGCGTCAAGCGCACGTGGCAAGACCCTCTGACCGGCAAGAAGTTTGGCAGCGAGAACACATACGAGGCCTTCACTCGGTGGGTGTGGGGATTGGATGAGAGGGCGATCTCAATGCATTGAAGTGGTCCCTTCCGGGATATGTGCTCGGGCCTGGAGCCAGATCACCGCACACCGGCGCCCTAAAAGAAGACCTCCCCCCCCTCTCCCCCGCCCATGCCGCCAGGTCCAAGAAGTACCGGGACCTCCTGAGCAAGCTGGAAGGCCCCGCACCCAGCGCCATCATCACCATCCAGCGGACTGGCCCGGCCGGCGCGGATAACGCTGCGGCTTCAGGCCCCCCTGCAGCCCCACAACGAGTGCTGGGGCATGTGAGCAAGCCCATCGGCAAGCCAGCACCCGCAGCGACCGAGGAGGATGAGGAGGGCTCCGTCTCTGACATGTCTGACGACTGGGAGACGGAGGATGATGCGTCCGAGGCAGGGGAGGGCGCCCAGCAACCCGAGGACTGGGAGGAGTGGAACGTGTGCCAGTCCCTCTTCGACGGCCATGTGTCTGCCTCGCTGGAGGAGAACCTCAAGTACATGTACCTCAACTTTGGCTTCTACTTCCCCGACACCGAGTTCCTGGTGGACCCCGAGGGCCTCATGAGATACCTGGTAGGTTGCCTAAGAGAGGGGGGGGGAGTCCGCCCTGGGGTTCGATTACGTGTAGCAACGACGATTGCCTGTCCCCCGCCAGGGACTGGTGCTGGAGATTGCATGCCACACCAGGAGCATTCAGGGCCTCATGCCAAGACCCAAATCCCTACTGGCTCACGCAGGGTGCCAAGCTGCAGTATGGCGGGGTTCCGCTGTACAAGTCTGGGGAGGATCCGGAGGCCAAGCAGTTCAGGTCCCTGCATGCCGTGCGGGTGAGTCTGCTGGGGAAGGAGGGCAGGGCGGGTGCATTGTGATGGGCGTGGTTGGTGCCTTTGCTCTCAGAACACGGTTTGACAGGGTTTGGGGCCATCCACACTGTCCAGGCTTCTGCCCAACACTGGCGCTGATGAGATGGGCAAGGCCTTGCCCTCAGTTACCCTGACTTCGTCCTCAATCCCAATATTGATCTTTCCCGCAGAGGCACATGGTGGACAGCGGTCGATGCACCATGCTGTATGATGGGAATGAGGACGAGTATGCCGACTTCTATGATTACACGGGCGATGACGGCGAGGCTGTCAGCGCTGGAGGCGAGTTCTGGGGTGGGGTTGAGGGGAGTCTTTTGGCTTGGAGGGATTGCTGGGACCGCTAGGATGCATCCTTCAATCCATGTCAGCATCCTGACTGGCCTCTGTTGTCGGCTCCCCATGCCATCTGTTTGCCATTAAACGCTGGGTGTATGCACTTTATAAAGACCTGAGTCCTGTCCAACGCTTGCCAATCGACCCTGTCATCTGGTAACCCATCACTGCGTCCCACATACCTCCTCATCCCAACTCGCCCTCCCTCAATCATGCAGTCCTGGCGCTGGCCGGCGAGGACGGCGCGGCCGCAGCCACCGGCTTCGAGCTGGGCGTCCCACTGCAGTCCGGCGGCACGCGGTACCTCGGCACGCGCGAGTTCGCCAGGTACTACAAGCAGCGGCACCGCCACGACCGCCGTGCCGCGCTCACGGCCGCTGCGCGGGTGCTGGCGCAGTACCGCCGCATGGAGCTGCCCATGCTGGTGAGGCATTTGGTGGTGGGGATTCCTGCTTTCCATTACTTCCCCCCAGCAAACTGTCCCCTTGGCTCTGTGCGGTTGTGCCAGAAGCAAACCTCTGTCTCTGTCGAGTTCCCTCCTCCTTACTGATCATCTCACACCCACTTTGCAACCCACTACCCCCCCTCTTCGTTTCCCCTACCGTGCAGGCCTTCCGGGCCCCGGAGCAGGTGGAGAAGCGGCGTGCCACCAAGGTCCAGAACAAGCACTGGGCACGGGAGCGGCTTTCCCTGGGCATGGCGCGCAACATCAACGACAAGCTGCCCAAGAACGTACCCTACTGAAGATGGACGCCGGCGGCCTTTTGCGTCCTGCTGGGGGTTGTTTCTTCTCACCTGTATCATTTACGCCCTGCCCTTCAAATGATGCAGCGCCCCCCTGTACCAGTGTCAGCCACAGTCTCCAGGTGCCATGCGTCGGCTATGAGAACCGTGGGAAGGGGCGCGAAGGGTGACCTATTCAAGGCAGGGTTGTCGTGCGGTGCTAGCTCCACCTTTCCGGTGGTCAACCCTCCCCTGGAATCCTCGCCACATCGAGTCAGCGCCACTTTGCACCTCCCCATTGCTTCCTCGTGAACGCTTCACACTCTCCCCTCCCTCGAAGCTCGCACTCCAATTCCTTCCCCGACTCTCTACCCCCTCCCCCACACCCTCGTCTTCCAAGACTGTGTGACATGGCGCCTTGCATCCAGGGGGGGCAGGGTGGGTGGCATGCGGTGCACAGCCTACTCCTTGTCCACCTTGAGCAGGGTTCCGCGGATGCGCCCCGTCCGGCGGGCAGCGATGAGGCCCACCTTCTGGCCGGGCGGCGCGTCGCGGCGCGTGGTGGAGGCGTGCCCAATGTGCTGGTGGTTACCACCACCGTGGGGGTGCTCCACGGGGTTCATGGCCACACCACGCACCTTGGGCCAGGAGTTACGCTTCACGCGGTACTTGTGGTAGGCGCGCCCCGCCTTGAGCAGGGGCTTCTCGGTCCGCCCACCGCCGGCGACCTGGCCGATGGTGGCGCGGCAACCGGAGGGGATGACCTTCTTGAGGCCGGAGGGCAGCTTGATGCGCGTGATCTGGGCGTCGGGGTTGTGCGCCACGATGATGGCGTAGTCGCCGGAGGCGCGCGCCATCGCGCCGCGGTCGCCCACCTTCTCCTCCACGTTGCAGATGACGGTACCCTCGGGCAGCTCGCCCACGGGCTTCACGTTGCCGATGTTCAGGGTCGCCTTCTGGCCGCAGTAGATGTACTGGCCGGTGTGGATGCCCTCCGCCGCGATGAACAGCTGCTTATCGTGCATGTAGCGGACGGTGTCGCGGAAGGTCACCTGGGGGGATTGGGACCGGGGGCGGGGGGTGAGTGGGCGGCAGAGGACCAGGCGAGGCCCAGAAGGGGCCAGGGGCCGCGAGGGGAGCTCGGCCGAGCCGGGAGGTCAGCGACGGCAGCCTGGCCTCGGGCAGAGGTCTTATCCCAGTGGGAGAACCCTCCCAGGAGCTGGCTCCAGCCACGCAGAAGGGCCACCAAAAAAGACCCCGCGTTCGAGTGTACTTCAAATCCAGGTACAAATCCAGCAAGATCCCCGTCAACCATAACCTTCCCCCCCCCCCCCCCCCGTAACATTTCTAATTTTAATTTTTTT